GGCAGCACATGCTGGGAAGTTATCCTTAAATTACGCTGTCAGGTGACTTAAATCGTCAACTAGTGCCGAAACCTTTCCACGCAGTTTGTGTATAATCGAACCTTGCAGGTCAAGGGCGACTAGAGCCGCTTCTAGCGCTATTTGAGTGCTAGCCCAGTCGCTGGTTTCAGCCACCTCATGTGGTATGAGGATTTCCCGCATGGGCAAGGTGTCCTCGTCGGAGGATTCACAGAGCTCAGAATACATAGTTCAAGAGTAGTGGTACTAGTAAAATATAAATCGCAATGGAATAATATGGAATAGAGTCAGTTTAGGGTGGCCACAATTAAAGATATAAGCAAAAATGTACAGAAAAACACTTATAAAAGGTAAAAATGCGAACTTATTGATCCACGACGGATTTTCAACCGCGCGCGGTCAAGGTCAATGCGACCTTCGAAGTTTTCCTTTTCGGCTTCTCCTATAAGGATGATTATGTTGTACATTTGATCATGCCTATGCATGCCTCACGGGGCACAGTGAAATATACACTTATTATTATTATTATTACACGCCTTTCCATCTTGAACCAGTATCGCTTGAAAACCGCCGGATAAGAGGTGACATCTTCCTACTTTACAATCTCTTCTTTGTGCACACTAGTATGGATCATCTTCTTGGGCATTTCATGAAACTCTTCAAACCGTACACTAGCCCGTCAGTGTTCTTGCACCCAGTAGGTCATTCGTCTTTGGAATAGCCCCCCCCCAAGAAGTAGTTAGTACCTCCACAAGATCCGCTTTCAAAGGGAATCTAGACCTGTATCTTGGTCTAATCCCTGAACGGTAAATATCTCCCAGACTTATAGTGTTATCCATATCATGTTCAGTAATTTTTCGTGTACTTTCCGATTTATCGCACTGCACGCAGATAATGCATCCCTCTCCCCTCCTCTTACCTCATTTCAGGTAACCTTCTTGTATAAACAGGACGCGGATTCACTCTAATTGCCCAACATCCGCCGCAGTGGAGCCTTGTCCGTACCCGGCTCATCGGGACGCAAGACAAGAAGAAACCTAAGAAACTACTAAGATCCGGGACCATTGGGCCTAGCCTCGCACCAGTGTAATACTTCAAGGCTTCAAGACTAGACTAGGTTTCAGTCTAAGAAAGTGTT